CCAGCGAGCGTGCAGTACGTTCAGCCGTGAAGCTGACTCCGCTGTGAGTGGCCCACAGCCGCCACTGGTGATCTCCGCGGGCCGAAGCCGACGCTAGCCAGATCTAGTACAGTAGTAGTGGCTAGCGATGATCAAGCTCTCTACCCCGATCTCTTTCTCCCTTCCTCCTCCCTTCCCCCCCCCCTCTCGCCGTTCTCTATACTGTATATCGACCCTTTGTGAGATGTAGGTATTGGTTACTTAAGATTGCGAGGCCGTGACTTTGTTAGTCCTGTTAGTTTGCTCTTGTGCTCGACCCGGAAGGATGGAGTTCTGACCTCATTTCTCGTGTGTATGGTTTTAATCATTTTGGTTCTTCCCTCACAGAAGTTTGTTTTGGTCATTTTCTGAAAATATTTCGAGTATGTTTTTGTGATTTCTGGAAGTTTTACGAGTATATCATAATTTGTTTGTTTTTATGAATACTGTGTTTTTGGTGATTTTCTGAAAAAAATTCTAAAAACGAAAAAAAGGGGGGAAATTCCGAGTGTATCTTAGTTATTTTCTGAAGATTCGGAGTAGTAGTACGTTTTAATTATTTTGTGGAGGCATTCCAACCGTGACGTTTCTGCTGAGACTTTGATCTCACTGCATGTTATGGTGACTTATACATATATATTTCCATCATGGACTAATTTCCCCACAGACCAATAGGCATTTCTCTGGCCGGCGAGGAGGCTACGTGTGTGTGTGTGTGTCCAGTTTTTTTTGGGATTAATTCTTTAGGGATAACTGAATGTGAGCTGTCTAGATCGTTGGATTCTGTTATCGTTACAGTTATGCGCTTTGTGACGAAAATAATTTCAGGACATTTTGGTTGTTTAGGGTCATTTGGGTCGTTTCCCAGGTGTTTTTTGTTCATCGGTGCTATTTAGTGCTGATTGGTTTGATCTTATTATTATTATTGTTGTTATTATTGTTGTTTTTGTTTGGGCTGTCTGAAGGGGGAGTTTGATTTTTTAGATCCGTCTAAAGAGAGAGAGAGAGCAGACAGACAGACAGACAGGCAGATTGACAGACAGACAGACAGACAGACAGACAGACAGAGAGACAGAGAGAGAGTGTGTGTGTGTGTGTGTGTGTGTGTGTGTGTGTGTGTGTGTGAGAGAGACAGAGAGAGAGAAAGAAAGAAAGAAAGAAAGAGAGAGAGAGAGAGA